TCATTTACCTTGTTTCAAAATGACGTAATTTTTAATCTTTTCAATATTCATTACCCGGTGGTCACTGGTTCGAGTCCGGTCGCTGTCCAGATTTTCATCTCACCTTCAATCATCACCCAGTATAAATATTCATATTCTCATTGTTATCATTATCATGATTATCACTCACCAGTTTTATTACTACTATAATCAATATTTTTGTTTACCTAACACCTATGTTCTCTTAGTGTGTGCACCTTTATCAAGCTATCTAGTTGACTACTAATTGTTCTGTTCGAAATGATGTAATCCATCCCTAGTTCCTCTTTTTATTTCTCATTATCAATTCGTTACACCCTCCCAACAAAATCTTAGCTCCGTTTGACATAACTAAATGATCCACTCCGTGTTGTCATGCTCATGCCTCAGTCAATGTCATAGTCTGTATTATGTGTGTATGTATTCCTTTATTGAATAACAGTATATGAAATCATGTATGAAGAGTAAAAATTTGACGAGTCCTACTGAAATTTATGAATTCAATAAATCCTGCTTTAATTACGTTTGTTGTTTTTAAAAAATGGAATTATTGATTCCTCGCGTTGACGACCATTTGAGTTAGAATAAAACATATAGCAAAGATCTTCTGCTCCATGTGATTTGTCATTGGATGAATACCGATTAGTCAATGATTATATCCAATCAAACAGTAACAAAATTCTTAAGCCCATTGAAGCCCAACATAACTTTTCTATTGATTCCAATAAGTTTGTTTTTAATCACTCATCCATCAGTTGCATTATCACACATAAAACTCGAAGCCTTATCTCTGGGAACGAAGTTTCGTAAGGTGAATCTCAATGTCAACAAACTTCGGACTTATGTGTAGTTTGAAAATCTAATAATTCAAACAAGTGATATCATTCCAGTCTCAGACAGAGAATTCCAACTATATTAATTGCTGTCACCCATACCGTATTACAAAAACAAAGGTTCATCACCTCCTAACCAAGGAAAATAAACAACATGGGAAGTATAAGTGAAAAACTTGGGCACTGTGGTAAAATGTAGTTCCATATTAGATTTGTTTATTTGATATAAAGCGCACAGTGATACAGTATTATTTACTTGATTACGTTTCGAGCATAAATTATTGCTCATAATCATATCAATGGAATGATGAATTTCTACAGTTCGGTACCTATAGGTCGCGTCCCATGTCCATCGTATTCCAGGTATCTGCAGCACTGATACCTTAGAAGAACTTACTTTTCTCAAAAGGATTCTGGCTAAAAACTGACATCCAGCTCAACTTGAAAAGAGGAATTTCAAACTTGCTAAAGAAAACTTCCTCCATGTCAACGGTGAGGACAGTATTCTCTAGTCGTTCAATGTTTCCTGGTAACTTGAAAGATAAGGTTCCACATCTGACCACTTCTATATGAGTTTATTAGTTTATCTTATCCTGAGGAGCCAGGTATGTAGGCCTCTTGATGCGCATTCTTTCAAAACGGGTTAGAAAACACTATCCCGTATAGCTGCAAAGAGTGGGTCCATCAGAAGTGCAATAACTGAAAACCTTGTCAACACTGATCACAGTATCCCAATTGATTTAGTGTTTGCTTTTGTTGGTTTCTATAACACTCCTAATAAACAAACTAAAATGGAATTACAATCTACCACAGTCCCTAAGTTCTACTCGCATATAGATGATGTAAGTTGGCGAATGCCAAAGGGCCTTTTGAATTCGACCTGAGATTTCATCAGCAACCAATCCATTCGAGCTGATGCAATCCTCCAATTAAATGAAGTGGTCGACGCATTCTACCACTTCACTCCCTATCCTTTAACAGAGAGTAGTTGGAGGTCAGTTCCGGAGCATCATCTTAATATTTGATAGGTGCATGCCAAAAATACCCAGAATACCCTGCATTTAGCCACATATGGTACGATTACACAAATCGTAATAAGTAGAACACTGTTGGAACCAATCACTGATCCTTTGAAAACCACCTATTTTTAGCTAGCACGAATTTTAGATACAAAGAAAGACACTGTCTAACGTGGCGTCCACCGAGCTCAACTCAGTGATGGACACAGATAGACCACATTATTATTAGTCACCGCTGGAGACGATCGGTGGAAGACTGCTGCTCCTTCTGGAGTACATGTTTGGATAGCAACCACGTGTTGGTCCGAGCGCGTATGTGCCTGTGTCTCAATGGGCGTAAGAATATTTTGGCAACAAAACCACTACGAGTGTTGTTGGACAACGAAAACATCAAAGCTGTGTTCAGTAAGAAGTTAGCTAGGGAGTTATGGGAACAAAAGACTATCACTCATTCAGAAGAAGCTTGGTGCCATCTCCAGTCTGCCGTAAGAACAGCGCTAAAGACCGTAGCCGACTCCGAAACAGTGGCTAAAAGGAACCAGTGGATATTAGCAGCTTCTTCTGAACTAATGGATGCGCGTCAACGCATCCCTGCAGGCTATGAGTAAAATGAAGAGCGGGCGCAACTTAAAAGTAGACTGAGAAAAAGTCTATGCAACGACCGCGAAAAGTGGTGGGCAGCGAAGGCTAGAGAGTTGGAAAAGGCAGAGGCGATTGGTAATAGTAGACAGTTGTTTAGACTTATTACAGAGACTGGGGAGGAAAAGTCAACAACAGTTAGTGAGGCTATAGTGGAGAAGAACGGATCTGCGACTTACTTGCAGGAGAAACGACTAGAACGATGGGCAGAACACTTCGAGAGACAGTTTAACTTGCCTCCTGCCACCATTGCGTTGCCCGCTACCCAGTCGGATCCTGAATAGAACATTCAGATAGGCTCCTCAACACAAGCAGAAATCGAGAAAGGTTTAGGTGACATGAAACGAGGAAGGGCGGCAAAACCAAATGGACTAACTACACAGGTATTCAAGGATGGTGCTAAGGTGCTCTTAGTCAGATTAACGGAAGTGTTAACTAGTATATGGGAATCAAATACGATCCCCTCTGACTACTGGTCTAGATCACCGATTATCCCAGTCTTCAAGAAAGGCGAGAAGTTCCCTTGTGATAGCCACAGAGGAATCAGCCTAATGAACATGGTGTCCAAGATCCTAGGTTCGATAATTATTCGACACATGAGTGAAACTCAGGAACAGCAAGCCCGGGAAAACCAGGCAGGCTTTAGACTCGGCCGCGGGTGTATCAACCAAATATTCACACTGCTCCAGGTCCTGGGACATAGGCACACTTACCAACGCCCAACACTAGCTGTATCTCTCGGCCTGAAGGTGGCGGCATTCGACTCTGTTGATCGAAAGGCGTGCCGAGTAAGCACATCACTTTATTAAAGGCTCTCTACTCGAACACTTGTAGGTATGTTAGAGCCTATAGTGAGGTGTTCAGGGAGCTATGCTCATCGAGAGGTGTCCGTCAAGGGTGACCAATGCCTCCATTCTTATTCAGTTTCATCATAGATATTATTATGGAAGTCTCCCTCTCGTCACCTGATTGCACAGACGTTGACCTAATCGCAGAAGAATTTTCGTTAGACCTAGAATGTGTAGTTGACATAGTCCTGTTAGGTGAAGACGCTGACAAGATGCAGAGTCTTCTAAACACTGAGTGGCAATTTGAGAATGTTTGGGATACGCTTCTCACCACCCAAATGCAAACTGTTGCTTCAGGATTGGTCTTCAACAATGCCTCAGCTAACAATAGAGAGTGTAGTGACTGAGTGTGTCAACCATTTCACTTACCTGGGAAGTAGGATCAGATATGGTGGCTGGCTCAGTGGCCGATGAAATCTCTGCACAAATATAAAAGGCTCGACTGGTTTTTGCCAATTTACGCCACCTATAGCGCCGCCGTGATATCCGTTTGTCTATTAAGGGTAGCATGTACTACACATCAGTCCGCTCGCTCTCTTCTACTCTATGGCTGTGAAACATGGACATTCAAAGTGGAAGACGGGTTGGGACACGGGTGGTTGGGACACGTACTACGTATACCCAGTCACCGATTGCCTCATCACACAATGTTGGTAGAAGTAAGTGCAGGCTGGAAAAAGGTCTGATGCGGCCAGACTAAAACATGGCACCAATGTATGAAGTCATTGACTGTTGGTTAGAGACATGTGGGGCGATGTAGACTAGCCGGTTGGGGTCCGCCAGACAAGAAAAACCGGTGGTTGGAGACTGGCTCTAGGTGATCACATGGCTCAGAACCGATGTCAGTCGCGCAGATGTATACACACATTATCCTCATCTTAACAACGCTATACCGAGTCTCACCATTTTCTCATCTTTCCTTTCTCCCTTTTCGTACTTAACATTTCTTTTGACTGAATTTTCCTATCTTCATCTTGTACCTCACTGCCGTTTTACTTGATGTACTGATATGAGCTGTGGCAACTCGGACTGTTACGCAGTAATGCGTCGTCCTATGTCGATATTGCTGATGATTGAAAGCTGAATATGTAAACTGTTGAGCCACAGTTGTACACAATATACCTTCTAATGTGTGGGATGAGTTCTTATCCTCACTAACAGTTTTTATCAACTATACTTTTAGTGGAACAATTATTTACAAAAATAAACTCACGTCCATCCAATATAGCAAACTTCTTGACTTCTTTAACCAATTCACAGGACCAACATGTCATAGAAAGTCACTCAACTCTCTGTGTTGATGAGTGAAGAAAAAGAATTTTAAATCCGAAAAATGTGTCATATCACACTAGAATTCAAGATTGTCTACTCCCTGTATCTAACGGGTTATTAATTTGCATTGAATTATCTAAATTGTTACGGATTTCGTTTCCTCTTAACGTTTGTGATATAGAATTATTGAAATTTACATAAGATTTAAGAGACGTGACCTACCACCTCAGCAATCCACTGATTACAGGATCTCAATGCCCAAATAGTGAGTTAATAGTAAATGTGTAGAAATTAATGGGAACTAAGCAAATATAACATAAAAAATGTGTTGTATAACACAAAGGTAGTCAGTCATCTGGAGAATAACTCACTTGATCCTGGGAGGCACGGAGTTGACAAAAATCGGCCCATGTTCCATTTCCTATAATATGAAAAAATAACTTGGTAATTTCATTACCAACCACGAAAAATGTAAACACTGTACCTAGTATTTTATGTCATCTACAAAGCCGTTTGAAATCTGACAAAGCTTGTAGACAGATTATGTTCTAGCCTGAGGTGTACTGGCAGTAATAATTTTTGATCCCTTTCAAAGATACAGTCTCTGTCTTTAAGCGAATTAGAGGATTCACCAGATTTCGATGACAACTAACTTAAATGATAGTCTATTAACCAGTTGCAATTCACTTCACAGAGATAAACCTATAAAGGTTCTAGTTATGCAGGTGTATCGGCGAAACCAATTGAACAGTGACAATAGGTTGTCCCTAATGATTTAGAATAAAAGTTAGTCTAAAAACGAAACTATTAGATTCCCACTGAATGTTCTGACAATAACCTGATATTTGAACAATGCAAGAACAAAGAAATTTGCAGAATAAAGTGGGGTCATCCTATTTGACGGCCTTTCACCGGCTCTAAACAGCTTACAACTAAAATGAAGTATTATTGGTAATAACGGCATAAATTCATGGTATCATTTGATGTCTCCTCATTGTTTAAGAACATACCAGTGGACGAAACGGTAGACATAGTATGTTAACTGTCTGATTTACTCTCATTAGCGAAAATAGAACTCAGACAGTTACTGCTCCTCTGTACAAAATATGTTCAGTTCCGATATAATAATCAACTATAATGTGTATGGGTTCACCACTAGGACCTATCCTAGCTGATATATTCACGGCTTGTCTCGAACGAACAAGTCTGAACTCTGAGGTCAATGAAACGGCATATTACTACAGGCATGCCGATGATACTTTCATTGTTTGTGAAAATATGAATCATGCATCAAAGTTGTTCGACACCTTCAACCAAGCTCATCGAAATATTAATTTTACAATGGAGTACGAAAATGAGAACAGATCTAAGTATAAGACGGAGATGTGATGGTACAGTTGAGAAAACTATCTACAGGAAAGACACGCGGATTGGTCAGTACTTTCACTACAATAGTTTCTGTCCTGTCAGCTATAAAAGTGGTTCAATCACGACACACTTACCTAGAACAAGATCGCTATGCTCAAAAGACAAACTGGAAGAAGAATTCGCTAGCATTGACAAAACTCAGAGAATGGATATGCAAAGAAATTCATTATGAAGCATGGAAAAGAATTTCTTGAGAGATTCAGATACCCATCTACTATTCAAGGGTGATGGAACATCTGTAAGAATAGACAGAAGAGTAAATGCTGCGTTGAGAAGGAGCTTTCTTGCTGCCAAACTGATCCTAATTTATGCTAAATCTTCTTAACAATAAAGTCGAAAGTAGAAAAATACCTATCTCACGTCACCAACAGCGTACATCGGTTCACAGGTGATTGTAGAAGCAAGTACGTAGGTCGGACAGAAAGAAAGGCGTCTACTAGATTTTATGAGCATATTCCGAGAAATCTGTATCTGAATGGTAGGAAAGCCTTTAAGAGCACAATCACCAGGCACCTGATGAAACAGGACATCAAAGAGATGTTTCTCGATCCCACAGGATAATCAATAAACAAAAAATGCCATATTTATTAAGGTTTATGGAAGCTCTCACTATCAAACATTTTCAATTGACCTATGAACTCAGAAAGAAACTGTAATTAAACTTTCTTCACCCTGGTAACTATGTAACTTCTTGCATGTGTATGTATGTATGTATGTATGTATGTATGTATGTATGTATGTATGTATGTATGTATGTATGTATGTATGTATGTATGTATGTATGTATGTATGTATGTATGTATGTATGTATGTATGTATGTATGTATGTATGTATGTATGTATGTATGTATGTATGTATGTATGTATGTATGTATGTATGTATGTATGTATGTATGTATGTATGTATGTATGTATGTATGTATGTATGTATGTATGTATGTATGTATGTATGTATGTATGTATGTATGTATGTATGTATGTATGTATGTATGTATGTATGTATGTATGTATGTATGTATGTATGTATGTATGTATGTATGTATGTATGTATGTATGTATGTATGTATGTATGTATGTATGTATGTATGTATGTATGTATGTATGTATGTATGTATGTATGTATGTATGTATGTATGTATGTATGTATGTAGCCTTCCCTTTTCTTTTAATTGCATCATCTCTTCATTAATTACTACTTGAATGTTAATCGCTTAACGATTTTCAAATTTCTCGTGTAATTACGTAACCTACTATCTCTTAAACAGTCCCTTCTTTTGCACTGATCTTCGTTTGTTGTCCCCATCCACACTCCATATCTCTAGAATTTTCTATCTCATCAAATGGGTGTAAATAGCCATAGATTTTGACTAAGATTCGTAACTATTAATCCTATATTTCCTTGGCTTACTACCTTATTGTTAATCCTGGATATCAAATCTGCATTTATCTCCACATATTCAGAGTATGCTATGTCGTTGTTACTACTACTAATATTTCATTTCAATTATAGACTGTTTACAGTTAGCTGATGAAAGGCCATGAAATAAAATGAGCTGATTTTATTCTGAAAATTTCTTTGCTTTTGCTTTATTCAAATTTGTCAAGGGAACCAAATGTATGACTTTTCTGAAAATAACATGATAAGCTTGAGATGTTTGACCTCGGAATTGAGTAATATTGAAGCCTTTTGAGAAGTCTTGAACTACAGGGGAACTACTATGTCGCGTTGCAACAACCAGTGTTTTATTAGGTTACTTCATCCAATAAGTATATCCAGGTATATAAAAATATCTTTGAACTCACTGATAAGAAATAAAAAGGAATGAAAACTATACAGGGTGTTTATAAATTTGATAAGCAATTTACAACAGTGATCGATATGAAACTTCATGCAATCTTTGCCGGTCAAGTTTGCAAAATACTAAACTAGGAGACTCAACATCATATGAAGTTGTGTTCACTTTAGGAGTTGGAGTTACCAGCTTGGGAGTTTTACAATTATATTGAGCGCTTGTTAAAGCGTGTCCGAAGGCATACTACTAGCAACCTTGAGAGAAGTCCTATTTTATCAGAAGTTAAAACCTGCGCCATTTAGCAGTGCGTCGTGAAGTTAACTTTTTCGGCTTGATGAGCACATTGTGTCATCGATACAATAAGGTCAACACCTACAACTAGACGACATAACATTTATTACTCTTTAACAAATGATCAGTGTGTAAGACCGAGATCTGTTATGACTCGAATAGCTCAGTTGCAACATCATTCTACTGCAGAGTAAGATGATACAGGTTCAAGTCTCTACAGTAGAACATATTCCTTTCGGCGTTTTAGATGCACTCAGAAGAGAAGTGTCAACAAGTACGAAGCGTTTGTAAGCTGGAACTGTCACCTGAATGCATCTGATCAATCAGCGTATGGTTTTATCTCCGAACTGAGATAACCTAAACTAGTGTTCAAGAGAGTACCAATTTCCTTGGGTTTGCTGAGGACTGTCACCAAGCACGAAGCCTAGGTGGAGCGGCGCTTTCTGTCAACTGATTTCTAACATCATATTTTATGCATAAAGGAAACTGTTGAAAGCCGTTTGATAGGATAGATTACATGGTCACTGCTTATACTATGCATTATTGGATTCCCGATTACCAGTATAATCATTGACAGAAAAGTACAGAGTTAAAATTGAATACTTTTTTTGAATGGAAGTATATTACGATAAATAAAAATGTGGTTTATTCTAGAAAAATAGGAAGCGGTAGTAATTAATTCATCAGAAAAAATCTCATTAGAAATATTTTTCTAAAAACTTTAATTAAAACTTTCTCATGTGGTTATTACAATTTTCATTAAAAATTCTCAGGTAATGAATAAACATGTTTATAATAACTTTCAACGTTGCTACCACCCTTTATACTATTTACTGTACTCCACGCGTATCTTTATAATCTCCTACGTCGAACGACTGTATTGTGGAAGCTCCATTTTAAGTGAAAAGGCCATTCAGCAAGTATACTAGGGTGCTAAAGATTACTTATTCAAACATGTATGATACTGTTAGCTTATGATTAACTAACTATTAGAGTTGTTGTGTTAAATGGCAAAGAGAGGAAGCCTGTTTCTATCTTCATTCAATGTTTATATTTTCGATAGATGTGTTTGTGATAGTGGAGAAGACTTCTAGCTCATGATGAGGATGGTAATTGTTTCAGGTCCTTTGAGCTGTAAGCTTTCACCAGGCTAGGTGACTTCATCAACACTTACCTCATAAAGAAAATGCGTTTCCATAAGTTACACCTTTAATGACTAATCAAGAGTACAGTAGCAACAAAAACGCGCAGGTAATTGAAAGATAAATTCTAACCAGAAAACTGGTTAAAGGCTTGTGAATGTATTGAGAAGTGAAGTCAAGCCTAGCGACTTATTATGTATAGAGACATGAATATTGAATGCTCGAATTCTGATTATTGACAGGTTAGTTTTCTGAGAACTATGAGAACTGTTTGAAATCTTGTTACCGAAACCTTAGCGGGCAATATGATATTTGAACTAGTAACCCATTACTATACATAGTTCATCTCTACAAGAGGCCGACCATGGTTCGGATGACTCAGAGGTAATGTTTCCATGTGAAGCACTAAGTGATGCAGTTTTGGACATCTTGGGGAGAGTCGTTTCATCTGAGTTTGTAGACACGCCTTACTGACGATTACTACCAAGTCCAAAATGTCGGTCAACCGGAGCTTCCCTCGAATACTTTCCAACACCAAACATCAACCGATGAACTGCTGGTTGAAGATCAGTTGCCAATACCATTAAGTCACAACTCTAATTCCAATTTCAACGCCTAGATAGACCACCAATAAGAACTATGGAGAAATTTCTAATGTGAGATGTTCTTAAGTTTATCATTCTTAACCAATTCTCTACTGATATAAACAAATCTTGTCAAAGCGTATGATTAAGCTGACTCGCTAAACTAACCTTCTTAGTCAGGAGAATATGATCAGCACTAAAGACAAAACCATTCATCACTTTCCTAACAGTAAAGCGATAACAATCTAATCACACTCTAATTCAATGGTATAAAGTTTTCAATAAAAACTTTGGTGCAAAAACACAGTCTGAGGTTTCCAGCACACAATGAATCTTCTCGAAGTTGTAAGTTACTCCATAGAGTTAAAGTGCTGACATAAAAAGTGATGCAAACAAGTTTTAGAGGCTCCTTACGATTATTGCCAGAAACAGAGTCAACAACTTACCTTTACCATTATTACGTGGCATTGATATTCGTTTGTTTAAATTGTTGTTTATCCCATTACTACTTCCTAATTTATGACGAAGGCGTAGATTTGAAGCATCATCATTCTCTCGTACAGGTGTACGACAATTTGAACAAATTGTCTGTTTTACATTTTCAGCTTCTAATTTACGTCTAGCTAATTTATCCATTTGCTGAGCTAATTCCTTCTTTTCCTAAAATAAAATAAGTAAAAATTCACTAGGGTGAAACGTAGAAGTGGTTAGAATCAAATAACTGGTAATTGGGCGTCCTCATAAAGATGTTAAACTTGATTCGACTGAAGCATGTAGTGTACATACTCCGTTAGTAAATGCTGTAATATGGGATGATGATGCATCAGCGAAATCAGGCTGAAACATTGAAACAGTTTGTAAAGAAGTTAATGGTTATTTATCTGAGCTCTGTATGAAACTGCAGACCTCCTCATGAACACACTTCAATTACAATTACAATCGGAGACACCAGAGACAGCTTAAATTCAATCCTGATATTAAACTGGTTGCCTGATTTCAAAATTTGAGCACATTATCATTCTAAGCCAACTCTCAAGACTAAACAGCAATCGATGAAAGCTTTGACAGTTGGTTTGAACGATGAAGGGTCATGTAGACTGACTAATTGGTGTCCGTAAGATGATAGAAAGCAGTGGTTTGAGACTATGATTGGCAAGACTCAAAATTAGGCAGGATGTTGCATATACAGTTACTCGTCATCATTTTCGACTTCTTGAACATTTCCCCAACTTTTGTGTATTTTTATAATTTAAAGAACTCTATAGATTATTCAGAACAAACAGTTGTTTTCAGCAACTTCTTCTTTAGGCTCTACAGTTATAAATCCATGAGAATAAGTGAAATACAATAGCTAAAATAAGGCATGATGTACAATTATTACTATATTGAAACAGTCAGTGTTATGGGTGAATGGAGATCCAATCGAATGGAATGGTGGAATGTTATCAGTCTAGTGTGTTGGTTGTGCAACGAAATGAGGAGACAAAATCTACAAATAATGATTCATTTATATACATTTACTGGGGCATGAATATGTGTGTGTTTTCTAAGGGTCAAATAATAATTTAAAAATGTTAAAAATTCCTATTGTCAAAATTACTTAATTATCATAATTATGTAGTGATGACTTGTATTAAAGTGGGGCGAAAATCATGTGAATATTATAACGAAACGGAGAATAATAAATGTGAAGTGTTACGTCACGGTTGAAAATGATTACCGGTAGTGGTAGGAATAAAAAAGGGCATAAAACTAATAACATAAGAAAATAAATATTTATCGATGTAATGACAATATTGAGGAAAGGGGTAGGAGGCTAAAATGTGCAATTTGTGGTGCGAAATTTCATAAAAGACGTGTTGACTTTGTTGTGGGCCAAGGTGGACAAAGTAGATGTACATATCTCTTCTGAACACATAGATCCAGTTTTGTTGCGTTGATACATATTGCTTCGGCTATCAATAAGATGCGTTGTCGTGCACCTTTGGGGAGATTGTAAGGGACATGATATATCACAGAAAAGGCGTGATCTGACGTTCATTATCGACTAGATGTGAAAGGACTGCACTGTTAATGTCTTTTGTCATTTTTTTCCCTAAGCAAGCTGATACATGTTCACGAGCGCACATGGATAGAGCTCTCTGAGTATGGCCTATGTAACTAGCTCGACAAGAGCACCTGAACTCATAAATACACACTGAAGTGGCTATTATTGGTAACCTATTCTTGGTTCGCTGTGTCAGCAATGGTTTGGTTGAGAAGCTGACAAAAGGTTTCGCTACACTGGATGTCTTTTCGACTGATCCACTTAGTCAATGTGTTAAGATATCGGAGTTAATATCACCTTTGAAACTTAGTCTAAGATATATAGACCCTCGCTTACAACTATGTGTATTTTAATATCATTATTTTCTATTCAATCTGTTCATAGTATGGCAACTTAAAATAATGTGCTCCGATGCAAGGTTCCATGGTGACATCCATCTATTCACTTTCTTTGTCAGGTTCGCTTTATGATCTTACCTGTATTGCTGGTTGATGCATCGCATACTACTCAGCAGTATGGTAACTTCAATTAGTAACTCAGTCCTTAAGTTTTCACATCCCTAAATGCAATCACAGGTCATTACAATAATGAACAGTTTGCCAATAAGTCTGATCAATAGTAATGATGAATAGTGGCTAGTAGTGGAATCCAGGATGCGCTTTTGTCCTGTTTGGTACTCGTCAGCTGGGTGTACATGTATCCCAAGGTGCGATGTTGTTCCTACTAAGACATGGATGCGACACCAACCGTTACAAATATTACAGCGTTATCCACTAGGCCGCTGAATCATGACAGTTACTGTTAGTGTGACGAGTATAGTTTTTATATTGTTGATTGTATTATCCCATCGTTCATTGCACAGGATTGGTCGGTTTCTATAGGCATATGGGCTCCTGTACGGATGCCTCGATATTACCCGTCGTTTAATTTAATGGTTATGATAGATAGTGGTTAGCAGTAGAAACCAGGGCACGCGTTTCGCCCTACTTGGGGCTCGTCAGCTGTATACCAATAGAGACCGATCAATTCAGTTCGATCAACGACGGATAATACAAGCCATAACATAAAGTTTGATTAGTGTTAACAAACAAGTAAGATACTTGAACGCCTTGGATTTCACATGAAAAATTGACTGAAAAGTCTCATGCTAAGAGAAATGCTTCTAGCTTATCAATAGAAACTCAATTGGTGATGTTGATTCATAAATACCATATTGAGACAAACCAAATCCTCGGCTAGGTAAACTTGAATATGAAATAAACACATGTGTATATGTAAGTTGTTTGTAAAAAAAAACGTCTTCGTGTTGTACACATGAACACCCAGGAGTTCTTTGCTCTGACACACTATTTTAACTGAAGACAAATTAGGATGTTGAACACACTTAAGGTGATCAGACCAAATACACAATCTCCATAAATAATGAATCAGTTGTTGCTTTGAACTTTGCTAAGCAGTGGAGCTTATTCAACTGCGATCCTTAAGATGTTAACAATCAGATGACAACTCGAAATTGATATTCTGAATATCCAGTGTATCTGTATTTGTTTTTTCTGTCTCCAGTACTATCCATATTGCTTATTTTAATATCTTTCCTCTTCGATTGATTTCCTTTGTTTTTTTGCTGCCTTGAAATGTGTGGTGACGTGAATTAGTGCACTTTCCTGCTGCTGACCTGTGTGTCTATCTACCTATCTTTCATATGTACGGTGTGCAAACTAAAATAGTTGTAAATTTTAAATTGCGAACGAACTTCGGCCACTGACACTGTTGCATATTTATATTTCTAGTGAGAAAAAAAGAGTTATGATAAACACAGCTTAACTACGATTATTGATTTTACTTTTTGTCTTTAATGAAAATCTATATAAACCTTTTTGAACTTATGTTAAACGAAAATCAGTCTTGGATGTTCAGGCATGAAAAAGCATTTTCCATCTAGTCGTTATTTCAGCAATAAATAGTCAAGATTGCTGATTTTTGATGAAGAGTTATAAACGTATCATTACATAGATAAGTTATTATCATGAGTATAGTTGTCGATCATTCAAAATCCATTCATCATGGAATGATATCAGTCTGAGAAACACTGAAAATCTAGGAGAAATAGATAGCTGTTTCGTCCCAGTATGGGACTCCTCAGCTGTGCACATCCATAACCCTACTATAGATCGAATCCAAGACCCTCAGGTTCCGCGGCCAGCATGTTACTATGGAGCCACTTAGTCGAGGTTTTTACCAGTGAACAACAACTCGAAATCAGTAAATAAATCCCTACAAACCTCCTAATTGAATTCATTAGATTTGTTAAAGAGGGAGAGAGAGAGAAAAAATCAAAGTGGAACCAGACACATAGACGTGCATCGCTTCGAACTGCTACACTTTCCAGCAGGATCCAAGAAAGAAGACAACAATAAATGTAATATTAAGACAGACAGACAGACAGACGAAATCAACGTAGAACCTCGCACACAAGTGCACTGGTTCAAGTTGTCACACTTCACAACAAGTACACAAAGAACAGGTGGACAGGAAGGGAGTAATACCAAAGTGATAAAGTTGTGTGAGAAAATAAAAATATGAAGATGTAGGTTAGTGAGGATATTCAAGCTTTAGATGTCAAGGAGTGAATACATTTGCATCGTCACCAATTTTCAGCCATGTCACCAAGTGTCCTTAACCACTTATTTCTTTCGTCTCGGTTATCCCAACAAGGCAGTCTACATCTCTCTACACAACTCAGGTGAACAATCAGAAACTTCATCGACTGGTGCTGTGGCGTGATCTGGTCATCTTGAACCCTCTTTCAACCTAATCCAACGTCCCCTAGCGTGGTACATCGAAGTAGGTGGTGGCGTGGCATGCGCAGTACATATCCAAGCCATCTCAGTAGACTAAGGTTCAAAACCTTATCAATCGACTTAGCTGTTTTGACTAGTACCCTTCCTCTTACCTCAACATTGCTCATATGGTGATTCCACCAAACGCGAGCAGTGCTACGAAGACACCTGTGATCAAAACATGGTAATGGCATCATGTCTTCTACTTTTAACAGCCATATCTCACAGCCTTATAACAGGACAGAACGGACTGTAGAGCAGTTTATTCATCCTTTGATTAGATAGTTGGATATCTCGCCAGTAGGTGACAGAGATGACGCAAGCTGGCAAATGGGCCTTCTGTACTCGAGCTGATGTAAATCCTCACAAAGTGAAGTGGTCGACATATTCCACCATTTCACTCCCCATCATTAAAGTGGGAGTGGTTGGAGACCAGTCCAGGAGCATCATCTCATATTTGACAGGTGCGAAACGCCTGTCAAACATACTCAGATTTTTGCTCAAAATATTCAGAAGATCTTGCATTCTGTCAGCATCTTCACTCAACAGGACAACATCATCTGCATACTCCAGGGTAGACAAGAGTGTATGAAAGCTTAAATGATATTCGTACGAAGGTTGATGAAATTTTCAAGACTTAGAAGAGTGTAATAACATCTGCACCGTTGTCATAGATTCTGAGCCCCCTCACCAAGACTCTTCAACTCCTGGTCATTTTCATCTCAAAGACTTCAGTCAGAGTCTACAACTCTGCATACGGCTTAGATCGGCAA